TAAAGAAGATAGAGAGAAAAACATCTTAGTCAATACTTTAGAAAGCAAAATTTTAGAGAATCTTTTATAACTTAAAAACACAAATCTGTAGATCATAGCAACACATAAATAGATAAGCAAAACAAATATATGCATTAAAAGATATGCAAACAAGCCTAATTTGAATAGTGATAGACATAAAGTATAGAAAACTTTAGAACAATGAGCAACAAATAAAAGCCAATAATAATTAGACTAAATATAAATAACATACAAAGTCAAAAAGTAAGCTAATGTTAACATATATTACAAGAGCATATTGAGCAGTAAATAGCATATACAACAAGATGTTTTTTAATCAAGCTAGTAAAATATTTGTGACACTAGACAAAAAAGATAAAATTGTAGCCATGCTAACAGAACAAAATGCATTAAAGGTTGCTTTGCTATGTATAACTAAAGAAATAATTAAGAAAGCAAAAAAGAAGCAGTCAGAAAAGAAGATTAATGTCATCAAACAAAACAAAAATATTATAATAAAAGAATCTATAACAATACAGACACAAGACAAAGGAAAAGAGATTCAACAACAGTTGATGAATATAAACCAAAAGCAAAAAGAAGCATACAAAATGTTGCAAAAAAGAAAAACAGAAATTGAAAAAACAGTTAAAAAAGAAATGCAAAACAATGCAGAAAGCATACAAAAAGAAGTAAGCATAAAGATAAGTTAGGTAAACAATAATCAAGAAGAAGAGGATTCATCTAGCTAAAAAAAAAATACAGAAAAACAAAAAGAAGAGCAAGAATAAGAAGACATCAAACTAGAATTCGAAAAGGAAATCGACATAGTGGAAGAACTTTTTGAAGAAAGCATATAGGCCCCAAGAAAAGAAATTGTAACAGAACAACAGCCTATTTACAAATATACCAACACACAATGTATCAGAAAAAACAAAAAAAGAATATAAAATTTATTAGATAGTTATTAAAAAATAATATATATGTCAAAGAAGTTAAAGAAGTTTTTAAAAAATGAAACCTATGAATAGAAGTTAATCTTAACTACAAGTATAGCAGAAATAAAGCAATACAAAGAATTAGCAAAAAAGAGAGTGACTAGTATAGAATGATATCAAAAAAAAAGAAGGCATTATAAAGAGACAAATGCAATATAAAGAGAAAAGTTAAAAGAAAAATAGCAGCAAATTAAGAACTAAAGAAGAAGAATTTAAATAGAAAGAAAATAAAATTAAGACAAATGAAAACTAATACAAAACAAATAAAGAATCAAAAAACACAAGTTATCTAATAATTTGGGACTTACTTGCAAATATAAACAAAAAAAAATTGGAATACATTTGTAGAAGATTTAGAAAAGCCCATATAGTAAGAATTAAGAAATCTAAATATAAAGCCTTAGCAGTAATTAAAATAAGAAAAACATATGAAAATATCCTATAGGCTATACCAGTAAATAACAACAAACTGATACAAGTAACCAAAGAAATAGAAGACTATAAAGCAAGAGAAAGACAAAAAAAATATATAGCAAACTAATAGAATTACTAAAAAGCATCTCAAAAGTCCTACTTTTATAAAGTTTAAAGAACAAAAGGGTTAAATTAGTTTACATCCTACCAAATAGAAATGGAAACCAAAAAAAAACAGCAATAGTCATATTTATAACATAAAAAAATATAAAAATTGCTCAAACAAACCTAATTATATATAACAAGTTTTGAGTTTATTAAGTAAATGAAGAGAAAAGAGAGACAAGAAAAAGAGAAAGTCATAAAGTAAAGAAAGAAAGAAGTTGGAACAAATATAGCCAAACTTCAAATGCAGAAGAGAATAGAAATAGCAGAGAAAAACAAAAAAATAGAGCCTATACAAAAAAGTACAAAAACAAAAATAGTGTAAGTTAGAAGGATATTCTACTAAATAAAAAAAGCAGGTCTTAAAGTCAAAATAGAGAAAACCAAGCAAAAATACAAAGATTAGAGAAGAAGAAGTAGAGAACTTTGAAGAAAGACAAGAAGAATTCAAAATACATAAACAAGAAAGAGAACTACACATAGAGAATATCTTGGAACAAATTTGAAAAAATTAGAAAGACTAGAAAAGACAAAAAGTACAGTTAAAGAAGGTGTCATGTTGTTTTCAAAGAGCCCTTGCACTTGATAAGAGGAATGCAAATAGATATAGAAATATATAAAGAATTGAAGGGTACAAAGAAGAAATAGGTCTGTAGATCGAATGGTTCATATGACCATGTAATTGATTATGCCAGAAAGATCAGATATGGTGAGTATCATAATCACCGATCTTGTAATAGTAACAAAAGATAGGAACAATTAAAAGGTTAATTTTATTAATAGGTAAAGTAGTTAAAATGTAATACAAAAGTTTATTTTAATAATATGCATAGCACAAAGAATGTTTATTTTATTAATACTGTAATAAGTAGGTAGTTTAGTCATAGTACAAAGAATCAAAAAATAGAGAGGCTTTTATATAAATAAAAAGGATAATAAAGAAAAAACAGATTACTCAAAAGAGACTACAATAGAGTAAAGTTCTTATTCTAGTAATATTTAAGGGACGGTTTGTAAGAAGTAATAGTAAGTGTCCTGTTATAAATATGCCCCATAGTTAAACGAAGGTCATCTGTGCTAAATAATGGTTATGATGATGATTGTAAAACTCTGTTACAGAAGAACTGAGGCAAGAAAAAGTATCTCTCATAACAATAATGATGTGAAGTTTAAGTGAAACAGTCAAAAAAAAAAAAAAAAAAACTTAAGTAACAGCACTAAGAAACATCATCATCATAGTAAAGAAGAACTTATTGTAATAATAGTTTAAGAATTGCCATAACATGATTAGTGACAATGATATATACATCATAAAATATGTGAGAAAAAATCATTGCAATAATATATATAAGGAGCATCTAATATAATTAAGTATGAACAGACAGTTAAGAAAGATTAAATAAAAGTTGTGTTAAAAGATACAAAACCAGATTTAACAGTATAAGGTGATAAGGTTATGATCACATACATATTGTGCAAGTAAAACAAAATACAAACATTTTGTGAAAGTGATTATCAATATTGAATTAAGATCTCACCAAATAATTTTATCATGAATAAGAGAATGAAGACATAGAAGACTTTCTCTTTAACTTTGAAATGTATGCAGAGTCAAAAGATTGGAATAATAATAGAAAGAAAAAGGTAATTGGCCTACATGTTGCTAACAAAGCGAGAGTGTAAGTACTGAGTTGATGAAAAGTGTAAACAGCTAGGATGATCTAAAGAACAAAATAGAAAAAGCTGCGAAAACAAAATTCTATATAGAAAAAAAAATTGCAAGACTAATGAGAATAAGGCAAGACAATGAATCTGTAGTTGGATATTCTAATAGATTTGAATTACTTGCTCATATAATAAAAGATGAAGCATGTAATAGAGAAAAATGAAAATAGCTTATTGCTAGATTAAAAAAGAAGTATCGATCAAAGATTGAAAAACATTTTTCAGTTAATTACAATGAAGCAACAAGTTTGACTATGAAAATTGAAAAGTATAATAAGAACAACGAATTTGACATACAGAGAATCAACAAGACATTAATAAAAGAAACAAATAATGATATCAAAACTGACATTAATGATCTAACAAAAGTCATAGAAACTCTCAAGATATCATGAGTCGAAAAAAACCTGACAATAACATTCATGAAATAAAAGAGGCAATTAAAAAAATGGCTAAGGTAATGAAAGACCTAACAAAGAATGACAACTTACTAAGACAAGAAGAGTGAAATTTGGGGTTTTGATGTTACACATATTAAAAGGATGGGCATGTGTCACATGACTGTCCAGAAAAGGCATTGAAGAATCAAACTGCAAATAAATTTGAAGAACATTAGAGGAAGGAACAAAGACTGGGCAAGAAAAATGAAAAGCAAAAGAACTCCAATATATGCCTAATGAATCTTACAAATAATGAATAGGATGAAGATGGTGTATACTTAATGGTTGAATTAGATAACAATATAAAGCAAAGCTTGGCAAATGTTAAAAATCTAGGCAAAAGAAGACAAGATAATAGGGTTAGTAAAAATCCTAATAAAAAGGGAAGAATCTAAAAGGTTCTAGAAATCAAGCATAATGAGCTAATACTACTAATACAAGAGAAGAAGAGTAAGGAAACTGTAATATACATATTATTATTAGATATGACTAAGAACCTTGTGAGCTAATACCACTAATGCAAGAGAAAAAGAGTAAAGAAACTGTAATATATATATTATTATTAGACATGACTGAGAACCTTGATATCTTGAAAGCCATAGCTGATCAAAAACTTACTATTTCACTTGGGCAACTGTTTAAATGATCACCTAAAGCAAGAAGTAAAAAATAAAAGCTTTGGCATGATAAAGGAAAGAGGATGATATTGTGAACATGGATGTTAGACATCAGTTAGTCAAAGGAAATAAAATATGAGAAAACAAAAATAAGATTGTACCTGTGTGGCCTGTTTTAATAAATAATAATCTAGTTAACATGCTGATTGATCCTAATTTATGTTTAAACCTAATGCATGAAAGTTATGCAAAGAAAAAGAGGCTAAAATAGAATCATGCATATGGAAAAGAAAGAATAGCAGATGATAGAATAAGTAAATTTATAGAATACATTCCTCAAATAGAAGTCAAAATAGAAGAAGTTAAGACAAATCAAAGCTTTTATATAATAGATTCAGCAAGTTTCGATGTTTTGCTTAGAATGCTGTGGTTGGCAGGTGCACAATATAGCCTCTATTGAAAAAGGAATAAATATTAGTGCACAGTATTGTCAATGAACAGGGAGTTATCATTTATCATCTCAGTAGTACTGTGGAATTGGATAAAGAATGATAATGGGAATGATAACAAGTTAAATGAATATGAGGATGATGATAATGAAATAAATTAGGTGATGACTATGAGAAGGTTTTAGCTTATAAAAAACAAAGAACAAACATTAAAGAAGGAAAAGAAATTGGGAGCTAGACACAAAAGTGAAGAGTCACATGATCGAAGAAGCAAAGAAACTGAAGGACAAATAGAGTTTTTGAAGCCAGTAGTATTGTGAAAATTAATGATAAAGAATGCAAATTTGCTTAACTATGGAACTAATCTTTTATAAGCTAAAAAAGAATATGTGATAGACTGGTTGATTAAGGAAGTATTAAAAATATTCACCTTCAATTTGTTTGAATTGGAGTGTACTGACCTGATAAAATATAAGGTACAGACTGGGAACACATAATACTATCTATAAGGCTTTATCCAATTAGAATTAATAATCCAGGGAAAGCATGATTATTTGAAGATTACTTCAAAGAGATGATTAAGTATGGATTGTTAGAGAAGAGCAGCAGACCTTATGCATATCATTGTTTCTCTGTCAATAAAAAGGAAGGTGTAACAAATCAAATATGTGTTGTTGGGAATATGAAGCCATTGAATAAGCATATAATAAAAGACAGTTATCTGCTACTGATTTTAAGGGACATTCTAAAGAATGCAGCTGAACATGAGTGATATTCTAGTGTTGATGCATTTAAAGGGTATTAGCAGATATAAATATAAAAAAAAGACCAGGTTAATATGGTGGTGTTGACTATGTTAGATGTTTTATAGTATACAGTAATGTGTATAAAATTGTAAAACACCAGCAAAACCTTCCAAAAGTTAATGGACTTGGTTTTAAAAAGTGAAAAGTGAAAAAGGTTGGTTGCAGCTTATTAAGATGATATTGGGCTGTGAACAGATGGGAATTTAAAGCATTATGTAGATATGTTTATTGAACTGCAAAAACATTTGAAAAAGCCAGACTTATATTCGCTACAAAGAAATATTATATAGCATGTAAAGAATTAAATATATATGGTTATATAGTAAGTAAGAGGAGTATAAAAGTAAACAGTAAAGAGTTAGAAAGGATACAACAATAGCCAGAACCTAAGACTCAAGATGAGATATGGTCATTTCATAGGACAGTAGGATATTATCATCAATTCATAAAGAACTTTAGTAAGATCACAAGACTGTTGACAGATTTAATAAGAAAGAACTATAAGTTTTATTAAAAAAATAAACAAAAGAAATCATTTAAGCAACTAAAAGCAAACTTGTTGAAAGGTATTGTTTTGAAGGGGCCTGATTAGGATGGTGCAAAAATAGGAGAAAGACCATATCAGCTATACACTGATGCATGTGATGTGTTAGTCGGTGCATTATTAGAACAAGTTGATGAGAAAAGAAATTTAAAATCCATAATATTTGAGTTGAGAAAACTTAATAAGCATGAGATAAATTATATGATAACTGAGAAAGGATGTTTGGCAGTTGTCTTTGGGTGCAACACAAATGAACAATATGTGGAGAGAATGAAATTTAATATATGAGTTGATCATCAAGCCTTAGAATAGCTGTTTAATAAAGCAGAATTAAAAGAAAAATTAATGTATTAGATATTGGCACTGCAGGCATTTGAGTTTGAAGTACATTATAAGAATAGAAGAAGGTATGGCAATGCTGATGGAATATCAAGATACCCAGAAGATTATATGAGTAAAGAAGAAAATAATGAAGAATTTATTGATGAGTTAATAATGAGAGTGAATATGTTTAACAAACACAAATATGATTTGATATAGATAAGAGATATTTACAATATTTTGAATGAGAAAAGGATGTGAAACCACAAGATTTGGCATGGTTGAGACAAAAGATAAAATGATACTGTATGATTGGTAAGAACTTGTACAAAAAAGCAAAAGGTGGAGTTCTACCAAAATGCATAATATTTGATAACAAGGAAAAACATATCATATTAGAGGCAAATCATCATAGAACTGCTAAAGAAGAAGGACATTGAGGTATCAATAGGACAGCAAAGAAAATATTGATGAACTATTGTTAGGCTACTGGTAATGTATATAAAGATGCAAAAAAATATGTGAAATTATGTATTCAATGTCAAAGATGTGCAGTAAAATCAATTAAAAAACCTATTCATGTGATTATAACAAGTTGGATATTCCACAAATTATATATTAATTGTTTAGGACTATTGCCAAGAATGAGTAGAGGTTATGTGCATATGGTACTAGCAGTTGAAAAGCTGACTGAATATGTAGAAGAAAAGGCATTAAGAAGGAAAAATATAAATGTAATAGCCTAATTTATTTGAAATGAAATTATAACAAGACATGAGTGTTTTGCGATACTGGTTTCAAACAGAGGAACAGAATTCAAGAACAATGTCTTAACTAAACTGGCAATAAGATTAAATATTAACCAGAGGTTTGTAGCAAGTTATTACCCAAAGACAAATAGACATGCAGAACATATAGTGCAAAAGTTCACAAAGATTATATGAAAAATTTGCACAAATAAACAAAACAAATAGCATGAATATGTAAGAAGTGCAATTTGGACAATCAATATGATAGTGAATAATTTGAAATACTTATCATTTCATCTGGTTTATAGGCAAGATGCCATTATGTTGATTTAATTAATGATAGAGAGTTACCAAGTCTATATAAGAAAAAAGAAATAGTTAACAGATGAGTTGCTGAAATACTGAACTAGACAAATTAAAGGAATAATAAAAGATTTAAGAAATGCATAAGTCGAAAAGGATGAATTGAGGCAATGATAAAAGGAAATATATGATAAAAAGATAAAAGTAAAAGAAGCTTACAAGATTGGGGATCTAGTTCTGATATACAATTCAATACTAGATACTTTGCTCTGAAAACTAAATTATCAATGAATGGGACCTTATAAGGTTTGGAATGTTGAAAAGTTTGGGCAGATATATTTAAATAAACTAGATGGTTGTAAATTGAAGGATCTGATGACACAAAATAGAGTAAAAAGGCTGTTTATCTAGGATGAAGAGGTTTCAAATTAGACTGAAGAACTATTGAATGATGGTGAAATGGCTCTTGAGGATAAGGACCAATAGAGGTTCAGTTCATGTTACATTGTTTTCAAAGAGCCCTTGCACTTAATAAGAGGAATGCAAATAGATATAGAAATATATGAAGAATTGAAGGATACAAAAAAGAAATAGATCTGTAGATTGAACAGTTTATGTGACCATGTGATTGATTATGCCAGAAAGACTGGATATGGTGAGTACTGTGATTACTAATTCTGTAATGGTGATAAAAGATAGAAACAATTAAAAGATTAATTTTATTAATAGGTAAAGTAGTTAAAATGTAATACAAAAGTTTATTTTATTAATATGTATAGCACAAAAAAGTTTATTTTATTAATACTGTAATAAGTAGATAGTTTAGTCATAGTACAAAGGATCAAAAAATAGAGAGGCTTTTATATAAATAAAAGGGGGTAACAAAGAAAAAACAGGTTACTTAAAAGAGACTACAATAGAATAAAGTTCTTATTCTAGTAATACTTAAGGGACAGTTTGCAAGAAGTAATAGTGAGTGTCCTGTTATAAGTATGCCTGTGTTTAAACAAGAGTCATCTGTACTAGATAACAGTTGTGATAGTGATTGTAAAACTTCATTACAGAGGGCCTAGCTAATCATTCCTAAGGGCATCCTAGTTGAACTTATGAATATAGATGAGAAGATCAGAGATTTTCTGCATGATAAGAAAAGAACTTTTAAAGAAAAAAATAAAAAAAATCTCCTAATTCAAAAGAAGTAAAGAGAAGAAAAGGAAAAGAATAAGCAGAAAACACAGAAACAAGATACAAACTTTTAAAAGAAAAATGGAAAAAAGAAAGAAAGTAATAAAAATTGCATATCCTAATATTAATAAACTCAAGACCAGAGGCTGAAAACTAGAAAACCTGCTAAGCTAGACAGAAGAAAAAGAAATCATATTTTTGAAAATTACAGAAATGAACATTACAAAAAAAAAAGAAAAACTTTTGCTGCATAGCCTTAATACAAAATTTAAAGATTACTGGACAAGCGCAGTACTAGACAAAAAAAAAGAATTAGATATTGAGATTTTAATAAATAAAACTTGAGAGAAACATGTCAGAGCAGTTAAAAGACTCAGCAAATACATAATAGAAGTAAAGCTATACTTCAAACAACTAGTACTAATAGTAATAGGAATGTACATTCTACTAAATGACAAGGCAATCAGTAAAAAAATATAACAAAAAATTGTGAAAATAGTAACAAACAAGAGGAGGTATACAGAAGTAATTATACTTGAAAATTTCAATTACACAGTTGATAACATACTAGACAGACTGCATCTACGAACAACAGAATATAAAAAATTGCCAATTTTCAATTGGCTTAAGAAACAGAATTTTTACAAACTCTTTTAGAAACCTGCATCTAACAGAAAAAGTATACACATAGTCAAATCAAGAAGCAACAAGAATTGACTATATTTGGTTATCAGAAACAATTGCTGCTGGCCTTCAAGAAGCCAATATAGAGAAAGCAGAAGGTATAACAGACAATAACCACAAGATATTAATAACAATTATATGGTTAGAACATGTAATTGCAAATTAGAATTGTGCAAAAACCAAATGTAAAAACCAAATAAGAACAATATATCTGTATAAGGAAGCAAAGCAAAAAGACTAAAAAGAATATGCTAAAGAACTTCAAGTATAATTAGAATAAAAAAAAATGCTAAAACAATTAGAAGAAGATAAAGAAAGCAATATGTACAACACAGATATGCTAGATCATATATAGAATGCAATAGAAGAAACTATAACAGAAGCAGCAAATAAGCAAATTTTAAAAAAGAAAATATTTAATACAAAAGCAAACAGAAGACATTATCAGAAGAAGCTATAGCAGAATAGGCATATAATTGAACTTCAACAAATAATCAAAAAGACAAAATTAAGAAGAAACCAAGAGATAAAAAAAAAAGAAAAAAAAAAGATAAACAATAAACTTAAAACATCAGCAAAAAAATAGGAGTAGTGTTATTAAAGTTACATGAACAATAGTCAGAAGTGTAGATAAATGATACAAAAGACTAGCAAAGAATTTTAAAAGACAAGAGAAAAGAAGAGTAGAAATGAGTTCAAAAAAAACAGATAGAAGAAAATATAAATAA